AAGAAAATATAGCGTAAGATACAAAAGATCCACTATTCACTAAAAAGGTGCCGAGAAAACGTATTCAGTCGGAGGGTTAGGTAAGAAAGGTATAAAAGTATGCAGATAGAATTCAAAATCATTAATCTAATTCCAATATTGCAGGAAGTTTGCTTATAGTATAAAGAAGTGTGGCTATGCACTTTTTTCTGAACAGCATTTTGGGATAATTTAATCAGATAATCACTTCACTTTTATTTTTTATACATCTATATTTTCTATACATTACTTTTTATACATCACACATCTAAATAGTATTTATTTATTCAATTTATAAATCAATCATTAGTGCATATGCTCTTACATGTGTAAGATAACTCGTGTATGCTCTTATGTGTGCAAGATTAATTCATGTAATACATGCAGCTTTACGAAATAACATGGTCCATTGAGGAACAACAAGAACTGTATGTTGGATACATTTATGGAATACATTGTTTGTTTAGAAGCCAATTTGTTTAATTCACACTTCTTTATTCTGCTTATAGTTCTTACTTCTAAAGGACTAAACCTATTCCATATTATTCTATAAACAAATCAGCATGTAAAGTCTTTGCTGTTTTTGAACAAACAATATATTCGTTAAATATATCCTACATACAGTTCTTGCTGAATTTCTGTTAAGAAATTTGTAAAGCTGCATTACACGAATTATCTTGCACATGTAAGAGTATACACGAGTTATTCTGCACACTTAAAAGCACTGAGGATTTATTTATTATAAATACTATTTGAATGCAATATATAAAAAGTAATGTGAAGTAATTACCTCAGAAATGTGCTATTCAGAAAGAAAGTGTATAGCCATACTTCTTTATATAAGCAAATTTCTTGCAATATTTAAATTAGATTAATAAATTTGAATTTTATCTGCATACTTTTATTAAAACTAAACAAACAAGATATTCCATAAATATATCCTACATATAGTTCTTGTTATTTTTCAACGAATCAAGTTATTTCGTAAAACTGCATGTATTGCACGAGTTATCTTGTTATGTAAAAGCATACGATCAATGATTTATTTATAATAAATAAATACTATTTTAATAATAACAGCAATAGACTTAGAATATTAACAATGCTAACAACGGAAGTGCACGAAGTGTTAATCGCAAATGGGTGTGTATTATATATCATCGGAAAGATCTTGCCGAGTAGATTTCAGCTATATAATATCTCTCTTGAATGGCGTCTCTAGAGGGCACTATGCGCAATAGAAGTTATATAGCTATTTGGACCTTTTAAAAAATTGGTTGTGGTTTTTGCTTCAAGAATGTCAAGCAGAAGGTCTCTACTAGTAGAATCAATTGTATAAGTTTTGATTAGGATATTTTATTTAATAAAACATAAATTGCGTTTTTCGTTTTAGTTTAGAAACGAAAATAAAAGTGAAGAGAAGAAAAAGAAAAACGAAAAGACTAATCGTAATGATAACGTTCGAAAAAGCAATCGTAATAAAGAGATCTACTGTAGAAATTATATGAACATTTGATGTATGTAGGATTTTGATTACAAATCTGGCAAATAGGTTCTTTAAAAGAAAAATTTATGTCTTGTAATTCTTTAAATTCCACATATGGAACATCAAATCCGCCTTTGAACCATGCATACCTAATCGGTTGATATATCCCATCGGTTGATATACTGAAGATTGAAATTGGTTTGAAATTAAGTTATGGATTTTCAATATATTTTCGCGCCTGTGCAAAAGTGTTTGATTTCCTGTAAGAAAAGCGTGTTCCGTGAAACGCTTGATGAAAACAAAATAGATCGAGTGGCATGAAACCTGTTGAATCTTCTGACAAAATTTTTAATAAAACAGCAGCATTATTATCTTGATAAAGTTCGTCTGATTTTTGAGCGCTCCACGAATCTACAACCAGAACGGTCTTCTTTTCTGGATTTTGTTCAACGATGGGTTTAAAGACATTTTGAAAGAAATCTCTTACAAGCCTCTTGTCTAGTTTACCAGATTTGGAACACCGAATTATGAGATTTTTGTAATTGAGAAGTTGTATGGTCGTAAGAAATTGAAGAAATTGACCACTAACTTTCTGGAGGCAAATCAGCAATGGCGATATCAATTTTCCCTCCATAGAAAGAATTGGTTGGATACTATAAGAATGAGTTCGAGCATTTAATTGAGCGATTACAGCTGTTGTAATTTTTCACCTGTTAATGATAACGTGCGATTGGAAAGTGGCGTGCAGTTAAATCCCGACTGATCGGTATTGAATATTTCACTTGCATCAAACTTGGAATAAATATTATCAATAAAATCGAGATGAAATTCAACACCATTATTCATAGTTTTCTCGGCTTCGTGTTGTTTCTTAATAAAAGTGAATAGACAGATTTTTCTTTACAAAAAACCAAAACTTTTCTTAAATTTGTTAACCCATTGCAACGACGCTGTGAAATCTATCAATCTAATCAATTTGTCATGATACAGGGCCCACCGCTGAATAGTTTGGTCATGAACTGGAATTCCTTCCAAACGGGCCTGCATGAACTGCTCTAAACAATATTTTGTTCCGGATAGCTATTTTTCTCGTTGTGTGCTCTTTAACATATTTTTCGCATCTATTTATATAGATAGGATGTTGTATTTTGGGAAATCAAGTTTTAATTGTATTAAAAGACCATTTTGTATGCTCTTTGCATGTTTCTACAACATATCGCGCATATTCAAGAGTATAAAAGCTTCATTAGAAGATAAGCTTTCTTCCTCATAAATTGGCTCGATTTTGCCGTCTTCTAAAATAGCATCAGTGTATGTCTTCAACTATTTCAAACTCAAATTGGTTTTCGTTATCCATGGGATTGACCATGGATATGATTCTCTCCGCTACCTGAATCTCTTTACGAGATGGACTGCCTCAACAGTAGTGTAATTCACAAGCTTCTGCTTGAAAAATTCAAATACTTTCAATGCCCTAATGGCCCCTAACAACACACATGTCCAGAAGATATTCAGAGGATGTAAACTTCTGGATATCCTATGGATGTCCTCTGGACATTATTAGGGACTATCTTGTGCAGAACACAAAAAAAAAATTGTATTGGAAATAAATGAATGAAATGATGCAGAGAGAGAATAAAAATGCAAAAAAAGAATGCAAGGAACAAACCTGATATTTGCTCGAGAATCTGCACTTGGGCAGAGAAGAGCGCTTTTCTATTTCGAAGAACGTTTGCTTGTTCGGAGATATCTCTATGCATCTATTCAAAACTTTAATCATCTATCCATTTATATGTGCAAGACTACCAACGAGATCAGTCACATGTTCGTTGTAATGTATGCTATGAGCAGAATTCGGAAATTAAAGATTTCCGGCCGAACTTTCCATAGTGATGCCAGAACGAGGTACGAGGTCCCGGCTCACCGGCTCGGCAGTGGAGGGGATAACGCACACACTTCGTTCTGACATCACTGTTTCCCATTCCGAAGTACCAAGTAGCGGCCAAGCGCCGAGAATACCAGTGCTGTAGCGATACCTACCGCTGCCTACCGCTGTGAATCAGATATAATACTAATCCCTTTTTTTCTCTGCTTTTTGCTTCTCTTCCACTTTTTTCGTATCATTTTGAACTTAATAAACTAGATTTTCAAAAAGCCCAAATAGCTATATAACTTCTATTGCGCATGGGGCGCTCTCTAGATGCGCTATTCAAGCGAGATATATTGTATAGCTGAACTCTACTCGGCAAGATCTTTCCAACGATATACATATAATACATACCCATTTGCGATTAACATTTCGTGCTCTTTCTTTGTAAGTGGGGAAACTGCCAAATAAGAGCCAACGCGCGGTTATTGGTGCGCAAACTTTTTGTTGTTAAATTTTATTGACAAGTATGCATTAAAAATATACGTTTTGGATCGCTTTTTAATCCATCTTTAGCATAGATAACAAAATTTGATTGTAGCAACCAGTATTGCGCAGGTTAAAATCTTTAATATGAAATTGATTTTTATATTTTGTTATAGATACATTACGACTTTACATCGTAATATCTCCATTTTTGAGATACGTAAAGCAAAAATAAGATATATTTTCGTAACGTATAAAACAAATCCAAACTTCGATTAAGCTTATTAAAACCTTGATCGGTTCAGCCATTATTGAGATCTGATAAACTAATATATATACAGGGTGACCCGCAATGACCGCTCACCAAGTACATAGCGTTATTCCTTACCAAAAACTGAATCGAGAAGTCCTGGACCATTTTTTTATAACGTTTAATAAAGGAGTTATTATTGAGTAAAGTCAGGCCAATCAGCGCCGATCAGCCGGACGCACGTCAGTGAGTCGCGCACCTGATAGTATACACCGTCGAGCGCTCACGCACACTATCAGGCGCGCGGCTCACTGACGTGCGTTCGGCTAAAGATCGGCGCTGATTGGCCCGACTTTACTCAATAATAACTCCTTTATTAAACGTTATAAAAAAAATGGTTCAGGACTTTTTGACTCAATTTTTGGTAAGGAATAACGCTATGTACTTAGTGGGCGGTCATTGCGGGTCACCCTGTATATATATTGGCCAAAATTATAAATTCATGAACATATAGTAATTTTTATGTCTTATAATATGTTAAGTATTACACACACACACGCGCGCGCGCGCGCGCGTGTGTGTGTGCGTGTTTGTGTGCGTGCGTGCGTGCACTGCGTGCGTCATGTGCGTGTGGGGTGGAGGTGTGTGAAGTTGTGGATGCGGATATATGTAAAATTTGTTATTGCTATATACAATTATCTTATAAATCATATATAGCACTTTTCCTGTTATATTATATTTTGAGTTTTGTTTCGTTTGTTATTCCTTCATCCAATACATCCGATACAAAGTTATTAGCTATTTATTTTTGCCTCTCTGGAACGTGTCGTCACGTTGTCAGCCCCAATCTTTCCTGTTTGTTTTATTTTTACGCACCTATAACTAAAACACAGGAATAAGGCCTGGCTGTGACCTGACAGAGCTAGACACGTGTTGGGACCCGAAGCCATCGTATCGTAAACAAGGAATCAAACGGATTTTTGCGTCGGAATCCACGTTGACAGACACCGCTACGAGGAAACAGAGTCATCCTCTTCTAGACAATACGACTAACAGTTATATACCGCATGATCATAATTTATTGCCCCCGAACGTCACTATACACAAAGGCCGTAAGGATGCTATATTGTATGTAGAATTTCCAATCACAATAATATATATTAATATTGTTTTCTTTTCTTTTCTTACTAAAACAGAAATTACGTATCATCCACCCATAGATGAAAGCGTACTTTATAAGACGCTAAAAAATGAATGCGAATCACCGGTAATGTTCGCGATTAATCGGAATCTCTATGCGTATGTGAAAATAATTAATTGTAAGTAAAAACGATATTTCTAAACAATATTCTTATTTGCTTTATTGTAGTAGGAGATTTTAAAAACGCAATTTTTAGTAAACTGCTGTGTAAACAAGGTCTGCTGGAATGTGACATCAAGAGGTCTTGCTTGCGTTGGCCAAGACGAAGTTATTTTATTAGTCGAGATTTTACCGGATGAAACGCGAATTCCAAAGGATGTTCTCATATATATTAATCAACTATATCTCGAAGCTATTAAAGGTAACTTAATATATCGTATATATCGTTACATCAATTATATAAATTTATCTAATATCTCAATAATAACTCAATACTATTTGCATTCTACATTGCAATGAATTATCTTTGCTGTCATAGGTAATACAATAACGGAACTTGGATTTTCGGTATATCAAGGTAGTAACCTGTTGGGTTCACGCGAGCATTCGGGATTTCTTTTTATTCGTCAAACATTACAATGTTTACAAAAAATTATTTTACCACCTGCACCTTTCCTAATTGGACTCTTGATTCATAGGTAAAAATAATAAAATATTACTTAAAATATTAACATGCACAGCATATTTTTATTTTTTCAAATATATGAATCTGTTCATGTTGTAAATACATACATATGTAGTATTTTTATATATAAAAATAAATTTTAGTTTTGGGGTAATAAGTTAATATATAATTAATGTCAATATATAAACCGAACACATGCAAATGCAAATTCATGAACGCATCCATACAATCAAGTATTTATATGTAATAAATCTGTTCAATTTTTCTTCCATCTTTTATTTTTTTAGTTATTTCATTAATGTAAATTCATTTATATAAATTACTGTATAATTTCTCTTTTTCATGTATTTATCACATTTTTATTTTAATTATATGTCCCATACAGCACAGAACATTGCAGCAACATTTGCAACATTGCCGCAATGTTACTGCAATGTTGTTACAACGTTCTGTGCTGTATGGGGTACGGTTTATATATTTATTTAATTATTTATGTTATATATTTATATTTGTTATATAATTATCTGTACCTATTTTAGCTATTTTGTTGTTTTAAATTTGAAACCAAATAAAACTACAGTTTATATTATGAGAAAATTTAATAATTGTAAATAATAATAAAATATAAATAATTATTTATGTGAACAATAATATAATTATATTTCTAGTCTACATATATAATAAATCTTTATTATATATGTGATATTACAAAAAATTGTTGGTACTTTCTTTATGTTACAATTTATTTGTAAAATTATATTAGAAATTATATTAAAATATATTACTAAATTATATTTAGTATTATTAACATTTTTTATTAAATATATAAAAAGTTAATGTTTTAATTTAGAAAGAGGAAAATATGGTGTATGTATAATATACTTTTTAATTAGTGAATATAATTGAATGTTTTGTCATGAACAAAATTATAATCAATCTTGCAGTTTTTTTTAATTATATGATTCTGTTTGTCTGATCATAGTAATTTTACTTATATTTCTTGTTTATTTTAGATGGGAAACTCCATGGGCTAAAGTATTTCCATTAAGACTTCTTCTACGTCTTGGTGCGGAATATCGTTATTATCCTTGCCCATTGGTGTCTGTTCGTTTCCGGGATGCGTTATACTTCGAAATTGGGCATACCGTCATGAAAGTATTAGCGGATTTTAGAAATTTTGGATATACTTTACCTGGAGTAAGAGGTTTAACAATTCATCTCAAGAATCGAACGACGGACGTTATGTTTCCTAGAAATCGATATGACCAAGTTATAAAAGGACTTTATAACTCGAATGATCATGTATTGGCTTATGCTTCAAATTTTAGTATAGCCGCTGATTCACATTTGGTTTGTATACAAACAAATACTGGCGATGAAAGCAATTATCAAACGCAAGCGATAAATATTCACAACAAACCGAGAACAGGTGAGTTCATGTACAAAATTTCTGGTGATATGTAAGAAAAAAAGAATCAATAGGGATTTATAAGGTAGATAGTACTTACTAAGTCAAGTAAAGAATGTTCAATGAACATAGATCGAAAAATCAATTCTGTTAAAGTTAGAAGCGATATTTGATATTTACTAAAGTAGTGATCTTCCTATTTTTATTTATTATCCTATTATCCTATTTTATTTGCAAGCGATGTGAAAACAGAATTATTTTACATATTTTCACTTGGATCTTTATGAAAAATGTGCTGCTTTCAATTCTGTACACTTTATAATGAAAGATTATCTTATTGTTTTGCTTGGCTACTTTAACCCCCATTTTAATCTGCTAAATTTTTATGAAAATATTTTAAGAACTTATTTTTATATCAATAAATGATATTACAAGGTTTACATTAGCAAATTGACAATATTTGTCAAGTGTGGAATTTTTGGAAAAATTTGAAATTCTGGGTTACGTTCCGAAACTGTTCTTAGAGGAAACAAAAGGGATAAACGAGGGTAAAACAGCTAAAGCGCATGAGGAAAACGAGAGTTATTCAGTTTTGGAACATACTGGATATAATTAAAGGAAAAAAAGTTAAATTCAAATATTAGTGGAATACTTATCTATTTCATTACAATTAAAAACTTCAGACATAAATGTAATTCAAACTTGCACTTTTATTTTCCTGCCATTTAATTCCTTGTCATTCACTCATGTAAAATGTAGATGAGAATTTTCCACGAATGAAGGAAACACGAACGCTTTCTCTCAGTTTTGGAACGTTCTGGATCAGAACCAATTGGAAACGCTTGAAAAGGCCAGCAAATAAATTTTTTTTGGAACGTAACCTTGGAATACAAAAATATGAAGTGTAAATGAAGGGAGGACATATAGAACATTCTTTATATTCTTAAATATCAAAATAAGAATGTGTAAAGTAATTGTTGTTTTCACATTGTATGTGATAAATATCTTTTTCTTTCTTTCTTTGGCGTAGAGTGGGTAAAAATAGTTGCTCACGCTGCCATCAATCAATCTTAAAATTAGTTGGGTATTATGTTAATTGAGTACATAACAAGCAGAGAGAGGGGCATAGCTTGTGTTCATATGGTGAGATCGTGTTTTTGGAGGAAAGGAAAAATAAGTAGAATAATCCTGAGGGAGGGTTCTTGTAGGAGTTTAAACGTCATAAGAAGGAATTTTTCCCAATTTTGTTTGCAAGATAGAGAGTAGAAGTAAGGGTCGATGAGTTTGAAGGAGAGGACATAACCATAAAGCGTGGTTAATGTCTTGGAGAGAAAAACCACAATCACAAGAGGGTGAGTTAACAATATTGCAGTTGGAATAAGCTGGACTTCAAATTGTAGTGGTTTGCTCTGATTCTACAGGTAATCACGATTTCAAGGCGGTCAAGCTTAATCCAGTAAGAAATTTGATAGCAAATTGTTGCCAAATTGGCATCAAATTTGCTCAGAAATTGGTAACAAATCCGATGCCATCTGCATCCGCATTAAGCTTGTATTTTGCTGGCAAAGCTTGCTGATATAACTTGACAGCAAATTGACGGCAAAAACCGAGCACAGCTTGTTCACATGACTTGACGTCAAATTGGCGGCAGAAATCGAGCAAAATCTGCGCAGGGCAATCTGACGGTAGATTGACAGCAAAAACTAAACAAAATCTGCAGTTTTTGGCCATTCATATGAAAAGGAACATTTAAATGAATTTAAAGTCTCAATCCCAAGTAGCAAAATAACGATTTTGGTTACAAAATGGCCAATTAGACATCCTAAGTTAGGTCGCATGAGACGCGAAAATGACATCATATGTCATATCCATCGAAAGTCATTTTCTAACGTTCTTTTGATGGCAAAAATAAGACCAATTACAGTATTAATATATAATAACATATACTAATGTGTTAAAATATAGATAAATTTAAATAATTTAATTTATAAAATATTTTTCAGACAGAAATTGTTCGAATAAGTGAAAATCGAACAATAATCTGTCCGATTTTCCAATAATCAATTCAATATCTGAATTCCCTATATGGGAATCGTGTCAAAAATTGAATTGAATGACTGAAGTGAGGGGGGTATTTAAGGCGGCAGGAGGCACGAACCAAGCATTCATCTCTTCCATGGCAGCGGCACTGTCGTATCTGTGTAGGGCATCTACATACTCTTCTAGCCCAACAAATAATAGAAATAGATATACATATATTATAATATTATTAGCCGCATTTTGCAGGCTTTATTTACATTTATAACAAAAACTTGAATACGGGTATAAATAGTGAATATCGCGCCGCATAGCGATAAGCGACTGAACTATACTATTTCAAATAATAGTTAATTTTGTAATACTTTGTAATAAGCTGCAGATTCTGTTCGGTTTTTGCTGCCAATCTGCCGTCAGATTACGCACGCCAGATCTTGCTCAGTTTCTGCTGACAATTTGATATCAGTCATGTCAGCAAGTTTTGCTCGGTTTTTGCCGGCGATCTGCCAGCTTAAGGTAATAATAACTCTTCTACCAAATTTGTAGCCTTTTTGCTGGCAATGATTTGTAGCGGACACTTGGCAAAATCTGTTAGAACAGACGTGGCTGACTGAGTAAGTTTTAGAAACCACGGCTTGGGAGAGAAAGGCGGGTAAAGTTGGAAGTATTTTTTGCCCTTGAATCGAGATTGATAAAATAGAACATTGCTCGTTGTGGAACAAGGTCGTTCCCGAGATTTGGCATATAAGTCGGATAATTGGACAGGGTTCCGATCGGATTGCTAGTAAATCTGCTGTCTCGTTATCCTTTAGCCCCGAATGAGCAAAAATTCAAACAATAGTGATACTAATATCCAGTAGAGTAGCGCATCTCAGTTTGTCTGTAATTAGTAAGATAAGATAATTGTGATCTTTGGAGAATATTGGTGATGAAATTATTTCAACCATGCTACGAGAGCCAGAAAAGATAATGGCATGTTTAATATCTGAAGAAAAGATGTAGTCGATGCAACGAATAAGAGCAAGAATTTAGCCCGTGTAGACGGAAGCTAGTGAGTCTATTTTAAATAACTTTTCGAACTTGCAGGGAGGGGAAGTAAAAAGAAATTCTTACATAGCTACCCGAATTCATTTTTGAGATGTCTGTGAAAAAACGTGTGTTTGTTTTCGACAAGATGATTATAAGAAGACATAAAAATGATCTGAGGAAAAGGCGCGTTTTTTAATTTATCAGCTAACGCGGGTGAGGTAAGAACTGTATTAGCTATAAAAGTGGAGGTTTTGTATGAAAAGTGGTAGATGGGGAACGTTTAAAAGTAGCAATATTGTGTTTATATTTTTTAATAATGATGAAAGTCGTGTATAATAATATATAATGCTATATATAATATAGCAATCATAAATATTGTTTGTCTTGTCTAATGAGACTGATTTAGAGGTCATAAAGCTTATCAATGATGAGGAGGCTTTCATACAGACTGGTGACGGGTCAAAACTCATCTCTGAGCAGCTACGGGCGCCAATTTTCAATCGTCTAGTACGATTGGACCGTTCTGAAGATATACTGGAGTGTCGTTTCTCCGTGGCAGTCGATATTGCATCCATTGAGCGAGATTCCAACATCACTCTGGAGGGGTATATACTGTTAAAAGTGGCAAAAGGTACGAGATCTGAATAGCTCAGTGGTAAGAGCAGTTGTCCGGAAAGCGAAAGACTCGGGTTCGATTCCCGATTCAGCCACTCGTGCCTCGCACATTTTTTCCAGTCCACAGATATTGTTTTCTAACAATTATTTGTCGGGCTGGGGAAGTGTGTAAATGCCCTACACAGATACGACAATGCCTGCTACTATGGATGGGATGTTTACTTCATACGTGCCTCCTGCCGCCTTAAATCTCCCTCTCACTTCATTCGTGATTGGGTTTAACTGCTAGGAATTTAGCGATGAATTTAAATAAGAAAAATATGAAGCGATGTTTCAGCACCAGTTTCCAGGATTACATTGACCAGGGTTGATTGAGTCTAGAGTCAATACAATATCACAGTGTTCGACATTGGATTTTTTACAAAGATTCCATTAGCCCATAATTGTTGACCGGAAGAGTGAAGGATCCGAATGAAGGATTCCATTAAATCATGAATAAGGGAGATTTGAAAATATTGAAGTGCAGTCGAGGATCGGCTTCCCATCAAACTCCGCGAAGCGATTTGAGAATATTTGCAAGTTTATTGCATTTTTTAACTAGGTAGTTGACATACTCGTAATCTTTAAGTTTGTAATCAAAGAGAATATTTAGGAATTGAATGGATTTAATGGGCTCTCTGTTAAGATTGATGGAGTATTCTAGAGGGTCAATTCTCTTTCTACTAAATACTAGAAGTTGGTTAAGGTAGATTTGGTGGAAGAGATGGTCAGTCCTTTGTATTTTAAATGAAGAGTAAAACAATGTACTTTAATGACTTCCCTAAGTTAAACAATCTTGAGAACTATGTCGTCTGCGAAGTATACCATTTCGTATTCACTTTGCAATGAATTTATTGTATTTAGCAACATGTAAGTTGAAGAGTAGAGGACTCAAGATAAAGCCTTGCGGAACTCCTTTACGAGAAAGAAAAGGTTTGATCTCTGCATTAATGACAAATTGTATTTGTCCAAAATAGGTTAAATTATAGATAAACGAGCAGATTTTAGGAGGCAATTTCTTCTATTTCGACTAAATCTGAAATGAAAATATTGGGGATGATATTATCGAATGCGCCTTTGATGTCAAGGAAGACACATGTCGCGAATTGGCGGAAAACAAATCCACAATATATTTCTAAGGTGATAATTTTCAGGTTATCATGACAGGATTTTCTTTTTCTGAAACCATATTGATTTGGAGGTAAAATTTTATTGGTTTTGATCCATCATTTCAAACGAGTCAAGATGAGTTTTCAAAGTATTTTTAAGAGGCATGAGGTAAGGGAGATAGAACGGAATTT